GAAAAAGAGGAAGACCCTCAACGAGATGGATCGGCTAGGTGGCATCATTGATGGACTCAAGTGTGGCAGCGGTAGTGAGGTTGGCCCAGGATCGGACATTGTTTCGTTCCGCTGTGCATGGTGTTGCTATGAGTCGGTTCCGACTCTATGGCACCTAACAACAACAACAACATAATGGATACAGTGTGGACTGAATTGGGTCCTCCCCACAAAATGTTATAAATCCTAATCTATGGTTGAACAAGAGCCTAATCATTACATTTTGCTTAGGAAGAAAAATGGAAAAAACCCAGAGCTTGTGGTGGTGCCAGTTATTTAGAAAACAAACAAACCAAACAATTCGGAGTATGCTTCATTTCTTGAAGCACACTCAGACATCATGAGTATACAAGTGGGATTCATACCAGGTAAACAAGGATCGTTTAACACTAGAATGGTTACAATCAATGTAATCCACCACAAAAATAAAACAAATGAAAAGAACCATATGATCATATCGATTGATACATAAAAGACATTTGACAAAACCTGACATACATTCCTAATAAAAACACTCAACAAAATATGAATAGAAGGGAAATTCTTCAACACAATTAAGGGCATATATACAAAACCAACAACCAACATCACTTTTAACAGAGAGAAAGTGAACAGGAACTAGACAGGGATGCCCTTTATCACTACTCCTATTGTACTGGAAGTCTCGCCAGAGCTCTAAGGCAAGAAAGGAAAAATTAAAGGCATCCAAATTGGCAAAGAAGAAGTAAAACTATCTAAAGATGATATGATCCTATACTGAGAAAATCCCAAAAGATGGCAAGAAAATTATTAGAACTCACTGAAAAATTCAATAAAGTGACCAGGGTCGAAGATCAACATAAAAAATCAGTTCGACTCCTTCACTAAATAAAGAGAACTCTGAAAAAGAAATCAAGAAAACAATACTGTTTATAATAGCTACCCCAAAAGATGCAACACTTACAAAGAAATCTAACCAAAGAAACAAAAGACCTGTAAGCTGTACAAAAGTAAGTACAAATCATTACTACAAGAAACCAAAAGAGACCGACAAAAATGGAAGAATATATTATGGATAGGAAGACTTTAACATGGTGAAAATGTCAACACTACCCAACGCAATCTATAGATACAATGGAACCCCAATCCAGATTCCAACATCATTCTTGATAAGCAAAGCATTATTAAAAAAGAACAAAAACGTAGGATTCTCACTTCACGATCTCAAAACCTACTACACAGTCACAGTAATCAAAACAGTGCAGTACTGGTACATGGTACAGCGAAAGACACGTAGGTCAGTGCAACAGAACTGAGACCCCAGAAGTAAATCCACCCACCTATGTTCAAATGATTTTTGACAAGACCAAAACACATTAAATGGGGAAGAGATAGTCTCTTCAACAAATGGTGCTAGAGAAACTGGAAATCCAGTTGCAGAAGAATGAAACAAGACCTACATCTCACACCATATACAAAAACCAAACTCAATGTGGATTAAAGACATAAATGTAAAACACAGAAGTATAAAGATCATCAATGAAAATACAGACAAACTTAAGGACTGTGATACACAGCGTAAATACACTATCAAATGTAAATGAAAACACACAAACAGCAGAAGACAAAATAGACAATTGCAACCCTCTGAAAATTAGGCACTTATGCACACCAAAAGATTTCACCAATAGAATAAAATGAGAACCCAAAAAATAGGAAAGGTATTTTGGCAATGACATTTCAGACAAGAGATTACTCTCTAAAATTTATGCAACACATGTCACCACCTCAGCAAGCAGACAATCCAATTTAAAAATGGGCAGAGGACATGAGCTACTCCACCAAAGAGGACATTTGGTGGCCAAGAAACATACGAAGACATGCTCGTGATAATTTGTCATTAGAGAAATGCAAATCAAAATGCAATGAAGTATCATCTCACTCCAGGATTAACAACAAAGTCAAAAAACAAAACAAAACAACAAATACTGGCAAGGACGTGGAGAGACTGGGACCCTCCTACACTGCTGGTGGGACTGTAAAATGGTACAACCACAGGTGGAAAATGGTATGGTGCTTTCTCAAAAAGTTGGAACTAGAAATGCCATATGATCCAGTAATCCCTCTACTTGGTATGTATCCTCAAGAAATAAGAGCTGTGACTATATATATATATTCCTGTCACCAAAAGAATAAAATATGCACAACCATGTTCAATGAGGCACTATTTATAATAGCAAAAAGACAAAGACAGTCTAAATGCCCATCAACAGAAGAATGGTTAAATAAACTTTGGTACACACACAGAATACTATGCAATGCTGAAAAATAAAGAATCTGTGAAATATTTCATAACATGGATGAACCCTGATGGACATTATGATGAGTGAAATTAGTCAATCACAAAAGGGCAACTATTGTATGACACAGTGATGGCAAAAACTCAAGAAAAGGTTTTCCTGTTAAAACAAAACATTCTATGTTGGTTATCAGGGGTAGGAAGGAAGGGAAAAGTATTCAATGGCCAGTAGACACATGTTAATGTGTGTGATGGGGGAGGCAAAATGTAAGAGGGAGGTTGGCAGAAGAAAGATGAAGGTAGGGTAGATACAGGGAGGAGTGCAAGAGTTAAAGGGAATACAGGTAAATAGCTTAACTGATAGTACATGGAAGGGACTGTAATCAATGAAATGAAACCATGTGTATAATCCAAGTGTATGATTTGCTGAATGTAAAACTGATGATCTGCTCTATAAACTGTCACTTAATTCATAATAAAAA